TATTGGTAACTATCTTAGTGTTGTCAGCATGAACAACAGATATATTTGTAATAGCTTGCATTCATTTACCGTGCTCAATTCTCTGAGGTAGTTTTTGATCAGAAGTGAAATTTAAACTTGAAGCATCATCCCATTTAATCTTTTTTGTTTTGGACTGTAATATTGAGGTCTTCTTGTTCTTGGCTTCATTAATTTCAGTTGAGCATTCTGATTTTCTTATCATTTCCAGTTGTCTGGTGATCCTTTCATCCCTTTGCTGATATTGTTTTCTTGTCTGCTGAAATGAACTCTGTGCCATGGTTGTATCTTCTTCCCAGGTCTTAATTTTTTATCCTGACCGACTCAAAACTAGATTCCTATCGTTTTCCTCAATCTTCATTCTAGATTCAGACTGCCGCTGCAAAGTAGAAATTCTTTCAGCGCCGTCTTGGATATCTGTCACTCACATTTGCTTCCCTGCCTGTGAATTGCTTCTCTTGGGTGCGAGTATACTGTTTTCTTATTTCCCAGTCCTTGGCATCATGTTGCTCATGGGGACTAGATCTTTTCACATAGTCACTTGCATCATTCTTCACCCTTCTTGCATATTCTTGGGAGGATTTGTCCCCATATTGTATTTTTTTTTTCAGCAGATACTTCAGCAAGCTTCTTCTCCGACTTTTTTCTCAATTCCCAATCAACACTCTTCCCCCCTGCGACCTGTCCCTCACTTCTTCCAATCTCATCCCTTATTGAACCAACAAATTGCTCTTGTTCTGAGAGCTCAGTGTCACTCTCTAACTCCCCTGAAGATGACAAAGAGTAATAAGGTGAGCAACTAGAATTCCTTGTCCTTTCCCTACGATGCTCGGCTCTCAAGTATGGCTCGTTCTCTGCTTCTACTCTCCTCCCTTGACAAAACAGCAATGGACTCATATTCATCCTTAGAGCACTTAATATTATAATGCTTTGTTTTGTTCACTTCCTCTATCTTATATGAACTCATATTTATTTCTCCAGTACCTAAACACTTCCCATCAACATCCTCACTCAATAAGCTGATCATGGCCTCGGCGGCATCAACTCCGCCTAACAAATACCTTGAACTAGCTGTATTATCCTCCCAAACCACACATCTAAACCTCCCTTTACTTTTCCTACTAACCCTACTACCAGTAGAAACCTCGAAAGCAGCTCGCTCGAAGATCGGAAACCGCAAAAGGCAGCGGAATCCAGCAGTTGAAATGAACCTCCTAGAAGATGAGCAGTGAAGAAGGGCAGACTGCCTTAATCCATACAAAGAAAGGGGTATTGAGTATCCTATGTGTGGCAGTAGCAGCAAATGCGGAGCAACAACAACAAGCAAGACGAACAACAAGCAAGACGAACAACATGAAGAAAAACATTGCGGCGATGATAAAGATAAGAAAGTGGTTTTGTCAAGTGATGAATTGAAAACGTTGAAAGAGCAATCATTGGATGAAAATGAAAGAGACCCATTTCTCCTAAGCGACAACACACTTGAACTAATACTGCAAGAGTTGTACATGATTTTGTTCGATATCAAGCTTAAGCCTTTTAAGTTTTACCTTGAAGGAATTATTGGTGGATTGTTCGGATCCGTTAGTATTCAGACTGAATCTGCATTCATTTCAAGCATGGGTAGATCAGATTATCCTCATCATTTACAACATGAAAACGAAAGACACTTTTGTTGGATTGAAAAGATAATGTGTTTAGATCCACAGAGTAGTAAAAGTTTGGAACTGGTGGATGAGAACGATGATGAGGATAGAGTTGATTGGGGAAAATCGTTGAGTTCACGCATCTCTGTTGTCCAAACTCGGTACACTCATAGAGTTGTACATTGTAATTGTAATAATTTTGTTGGGCCAATTACGGTTCCAGTGTGTTTACTGTGCTAAAATTTGGGAGTTAATCCTTTTAATTTTATATAAATAGATCCCTCTACTTCTATAGTATCACATTCACAAGTTGGTGCAGACCTTTATTTATTGTCGTTGAAGTGATGATATGAGTTTTGTACAATAATCTCAAACATTGGACTGATATACAAATTTACTATTAATTTAATTGAATATGATTGATTAATTTTTTAAATCTCTGTAATTATATGATCGAATAAAAAATATCAACTCGGTCAGTTTAGTGGCAGCAAGTTATCAATTTGAACTTACTAGTTAGATTATAAAAAGATAATTAAATTATGTCAAATTGTAAGGATTAAATCCTAAATTTAACATGATAAAGGGAGTAAAACCATGGTTAGACCTTTTGTTAAACCAGAAACAGTGTTAATTGTAAAACTACTCTTTGTCTCTCTGAGGCGTGACTCACTGTGCTGGTTGTATCTTTATCTCATGTGATCTGGTTCTGGTTGGGGTTAAAGCTGCAGTGATTAGGGATTAACATTTAATCAAGTCGTCAAGTTAAAAAATTGCGTAAACTTTGTTTTTAGTGTTTATCGGTTTTGATCCATTTTAGTATTTTAACTTTTTATTTTTTTCAAATCATACTTAATATTTAATTTTACTTTTATTTTAGCACTCTGTTATTAAAAACTTAACGGACGAACTGATAGGGCATAGTTCTAATAGACGAATGACCAATCGGAATGTTGGACCATGCGAGAAAGACGAGTCAATCAATAGTTTAGTTTTAGGCCTATCGGACGATTGATGATGAAGATCATATGGTGAAGAAGTCTAAGAATCCATAGTTACAGTTACATTCATAATATATGGGTTTATATCCAATATATCATTTGAAATATTTTAATTCTGCGAATTATATTTTAATATTATCGTATGTTTTAAAATTTTCATATTGTGGATGCGTGGCTAAATATTGTTTCTGGGGTTTTGTTTCCTCGTTATGTCGAGAACCTTTGATATATAGAGAAACGCAGAATTTTAAGTTAACGTGATAAATTTATAAAATTTTAAAAGAAAAAAAATAAAATTTTAATAAAAAATATATAATATATATAAATTAAAAATTTAAAAAAACGATTGGCATATATCCTAAATCATTATAATGCTTCAATTAAGAAATTTGTTATTGACGTATAGGTAGCGTAATTTGCCAAATATCTATTTGATGATTTTAAATGTTTAATTGTGATAAAATTACAGTTAGATTCTTGTATTATGTTTAAATTTAAAATTTAATTTTTATAATTTATTCTAACATAATTATATTTATATTTAAAATTTAAAATCTAATATTTATATTCTAATTTGATTTAATTTAATACACTATTTTTGAACATGCACTTCAATCAAATTATGATTTTGGTCCCTCGCTATGCTTAAAATTATGATGATCTATACATTAATTTGACATAATCAAGCTTATAATTTCCAAAATAATTGGCAATTTCAGTTACGTTACCTTGAAGGTTATTATAGAAAAAAATGATCTCTTCCTAAAATATTTGAAATTTATTTTGCTTGGCCCCCAACCGGGAAATGTTCGGAACGCGCGTACACAATGAAAGTCCAAGTCTTGGTCCAAATCAGAGTTCGCTATGAAAGGTCAAGGAAACTCAATCCTACTAGAAACCAAATCAGAGTTCGTGATAAAGGTCAAGGAAACACATTCCTACTAGAAACAGCAGAAAATTGACTATTATTAGGAGTATGACATTGAATGATCTCCTCTTTTAATCTTCCTAGTATACCTTGTTAGAAAAAAAACCCCAGTTTAGAATATTCTACCATTCCCTCTTTCAAGACAATTTCTTACATGGTTACATATATTTATTTAGATAAAAAGGCATCAGAGGCCCCTGAACTTTAAAAAAAATCAATATAGCCCCTATTTCTCTTTTTTTGGGATCAATGTGACCCTCCAACTTGAAAAAGAATTCAATGTTGCCCTTTGACCAACGTCTCTGTTACTTTGTGCTGACGTGGCATATCAACATCATATTTTTAACGATCAATTTGGCCCTCCAACTCACAAAATAACTCAATGTGGCCCTTTGACTCTGTTTAGTGCTGTTATAAATGGGAAATTACACAATTCATCACTCAACTGTCTTCTTTCTCCCATTTTAATCACTAAACTTTAAAAGTTTTCAATTTTAATCCCTCAAATTGCTCCTATTTTAATCATCATGACTTATTTTATTAATATTTATGTATGATGTGGCATTCATTATTCGTATTTTATTAATATATGATTAAAGTAATACTAATTAAATTAAAATTTTAAAATTTTGATTAAATAAAAAAATATTTCCAAAATTAAAATTAAATTAAAATTTCAAAATTATAAACTCTCGAAAAAGACTAACTTTCTTTTATCCGTTGCTGGTGAGTGGTCGTTGACGTGGTAAAGTTTAGCCGGGAATTGGGTTTTCCAAGAAATGATGAAGAACAAGATGAAGTTTTCATAGAAAAGTTAAACACCATTTGATTCAAAATTTTTATGGTAATTAATTTAATCACAATTTTGACATTTTAATTTTATTAATATTATTTAATCATATATTAATAGAATAAAAAGAATGAATGGCACATCATACATAAATATTAATAAATTAAATCTTGAGGAATAAAATAGGAGCAATTTGAGGGATTAAAATTGAAAATATTTAAAGTTTAGTGATTAAAATGTGAGAAAGAAGATAGTTGATTGACGAATGGTGTAATTTTCCCATTTATAACAACATTAAACAGGGTCACATTAAGCTATTTTGTGAGTTGGAGGGCCAAATTGATCGCCAAAAATATGATATTGGGCTTCTTGACGTGACACGTCAGTACAAAATAACAGAGACGTTGGTCAACGATGAAAAATGTTGATCAAAGGGTTACATTGAATTCTTTTTTCAAGTTGGAGGGCCACATTGATAAAAAAAACAATGGGAGCCATATTGGTTTTTTTTTAAAGTTCAGAGTCCTTTAATGTCTTTTTGCCATTTATTTATATATCTTTAATACATTCTGATCCTCTGTCTAAATCTATTTGTCTGCTCTCGCCCAGTCTATAAAGTCTAGGCCTTTTTCCAGTTTCAACTTGTAGTTCTCAAAAAGTTCATTTTTTTATTCATTTTCTGGTGCTTTGAGCTCAACAACAACGACCCACACTTTTTTTTTAATCTGTAAACTCTTATACGTACATATATACTAAGCATACAGTTTTTTTTTGTGAAATTAAGGTTGCATATATGCAAAATTTAGTAAATTGATTAATTGTAGTTTAAAAGAGAGAAAAAAGGGGAAATGGGTGGTGGCAGGAGGAGGAAGGTGTTGATGAGCAAGATCTATGGACTTGCAGGTGGTAAAGCATCATTCCAGGAAGAGCATTCCCAGATTGGTGGCCCAGGATTCTCCAGGGTTGTTCACTGCAATGAACCAAGTTCCTCAGATAATTATGTCAGTACTACCAAGTACAACGTGGCTACCTTCTTGCCCAAGTCACTGTTCGAGCAGTTCAGGAGGGTGGCTAACTTTTACTTCTTGATCACTGGTGTACTTTCCTTCACTGATCTTGCTCCTTATTCAGCTGTTACTGCCATTGTCCCTCTCATCATCATCATCGGCCTTACTATGATCAAAGAAGCCGTCGAGGATTGAGACGAAAACAACAGGTTCATTTCTCTCCTTTTTTTTTCAATTTATTACTCTCTTCGTTGCTGTTTGTTCTTAATTACAACGTATCTGGAATCTGTTCAGGATATTGAGGTGAACAACAGAAAGACAAAAGTTCATCGAGGTGATGGCAGCTTTGATCATACTGAATGGAAGAAGCTTAGAGTAGGAGATATTGTGAAGGTGGAGAAAGATGAGTTCTTTCCGACAGACCTCGTCTTGCTCGCTTCGAGTTACGACGATGCGGTTTGCTATGTCGAGACCATGAACCTTGATGGAGAAACGAATTTGAAGCTGAAACAAGGACTAGAGGTAACTTCATCCTTACATGATGACTATAACTTTCGGGACTCAAGGCGACTATTAAATGTGAGGATCCGAATGCAAATTTGTACGCTTTTATTGGAACTATGGAGTTTGAAGAGCAACAACAACATCCCCTTTCTCCTCAACAACTTCTCCTTCGGGACTCGAAACTCCGGAATACGGATTACATATACGGGGCTGTTGTCTTCACCGGTCATGACACCAAGGTCATGCAAAATTCTACTGACCCTCCTTCTAAGAGAAGCAAAATTGAGAAGCAGACGGATCACATTATCTACTTATTGTTTGTAATAGTATTTCTAATGGGATTTATTGGTTCTATTTTCTTTGGGATTGAAACTGATAATGATCTTGAAAATGGAAGGATTAGAAGGAGATGGTATCTTAGACCAGATAGTTCCGAAATTTTCTTCGATCCTAGAAGAGCACCAGCTGCAGCAATCTATCACTTCCTAACGGCTCTTCTTCTGTATAACCACTTCATCCCAATCTCCTTGTATGTGTCAACAGAAATCGTTAAAGTTCTTCAGAGCATCTTCATCAATCAAGATGTTCACATGTATTACGAGGAGGCCGACAAACCAGCACATGCTGCCCGCACCTCTAATTTGAATGAAGAGCTTGGCCAAGTTGACACGATACTATCTGATAAGACGGGGACATTAACCTGTAATTCAATGGAGTTCATCAAGTGCTCTGTGGCTGGTACAGCTTATGGTCGCGGTGTTACAGAGGTTGAGAGGGCAATGGATAGAAAGAAAGGTTCACCTGTCCGTGAACAAAACGGCCCCAACAGTGTTGCGGAATCTGATGATATCCCAGTCATTAAAGGTTTTAACTTCAAGGATGAAAGGATCATGAATGGAAACTGGATTAAGGAGACCCATGCCGATGTCATCCAGAAGTTTTTCCGTCTGTTAGCAATCTGTCATACTGCAATACCTGAAGTGGATGAAGAGTCGGGGAATATTTCATATGAGGCTGAATCACCTGATGAAGCAGCATTTGTGATTGCAGCAAGAGTACTAGGTTTTGAATTCCACAAAAGGACACAAACAAGCATCTCCCTACATGAGTTGGATCCTGTCTCTGGACAGACAGTCGGCAGGTGAGGATCTCGTCGCATGCCTTAACCAAGTAGATACTATGTCGCTATTTTATCATCTTATACTCTTACCCGGCATGTAACTAGCACCGTAGGATCATCTTGACATCACATTCGCTTATCTTAAGGCCTTTTTTGCAATTTCAGGCACTTGATTGCATGAGAATACTAAGCTAAATATGAACTTCATGTCACTGAAGCCTCATTCTGATTTAGAATTTTACTCTTATATTCAAACTTCAAAAGATTTAGTTGGCTCTCACTTTGTCAATTAAATGTTACTCTTTGCATGTGTGGCTATGGTACATTCATCAGCATGCAGGCTGTTGTCCTTGAAATGATGGCTTACTTGCTTAAGAACATTTTGAGTGAATGGTTTTCATTTTGCAGGTTATATGAACTTTTGAATATTATCGAGTTTAACAGCTCCCGAAAACGGATGTCAGTAATTGTGAGAGATGATGAGGGAAAAATTCTTCTACTGTCCAAAGGTGCTGACAGGTTAGTATTTATAAACTAAGCTGAATTCTTGGGAAGCACCAATAACACTTAGTTTCACTACATATCATAATAATGCTTTTTTTCCTTTGCAGTGTCATGTTTGAATTGCTGGCCAAGAGTGGTCGTGACTTTGAAGCGGATACTAGGGAGCACATAAATGACTATGCTGATGCAGGCCTGAGGACCCTAGTTCTTGCATACCGTGAACTTTCGGAAGATGAATACAAAGTGTTTAATGAGAAATTCACCGAGGCAAAGAACTCGGTTAGCGCCGATCGTGAAACCTTAATCGATGAAGTTGCAGAAAAAATCGAGAGGGATCTAATTCTCTTAGGGGCTACCGCTGTTGAGGACAAACTCCAAAATGGGGTAGGGTGGAATATGCAAGTATAATTCAATCTCTTTTTCAAGAGGCAGAGCCGGGGTCTTATGATTTTCCTTTCATTTTTACCTTACAGGTTCCTGATTGTATTGACAAGCTTGCTCAAGCTGGGATTAAGCTATGGGTGTTGACTGGAGACAAGATGGAGACAGCCATCAATATTGGGTATGATTCCTGAATTTCACCTACTTTCATTAACTCGCTTCAATCTCTAACCGAAATTTGTAAATTCGCAGTTACGCTTGTAGTTTGCTTAGACAAGGAATGAAGCAGATTATAGTTACTTTAGATGCTCCAGAAATCCAGTCATTGGAGAAAACTGGAGACAAGGATGCTATCATTAAGGTAAATTGACTTTATTTTATATGGATTTTGTGCTTCATTAGTGTCTGCATGTGTATTTTATATGTTTGTGCATTGTTCATAACATTTGTATTGTATTTTCTTTTTTATAGTAGTAATTTTTGTATCGTTCTTGATGGAACGATTGTTCTGTTAGGCGTCGAGGAAAAGTGTCCTTGAACAAATTGCTTCAGGAAAGGCTCAGGTCTCTGCATTAAGTGCAATGTCCGAGGCATTTGCCTTAATTATTGATGGGAAATCACTTGCTTATGCTCTGGAGGATGATATGAAGCAAAGTTTTCTGGATCTTGCCACTGGTTGTGCATCCGTAATTTGCTGCCGCTCTTCACCAAAACAGAAGGCATTGGTATGTTCACATCTTCCCTGTGGTTTTACAGAGTCAGTTTTGAGTTGTTTCAAGTTATTATCTCTTTTAAATGACAAAACTGAAATTCATAGGTTACAAGACTGGTAAAAACTGGAACCAGGAAAACAACGTTAGCTATCGGAGATGGTGCTAATGATGTGGGAATGCTTCAAGAAGCAGATATCGGAATTGGAATCAGTGGTGTAGAAGGAATGCAGGTATTGAATTGATAATGCTCCGACTTTAATGTTTATTTAATTGAGTGATGGGAATATGGTAACACTAAGTATGTTAAAATCTCTTCAACTTTCTGAGTTTTGTTATTATGGTCTAATGCAGGCAGTGATGTCAAGTGATGTCGCTATTGCTCAGTTCCGATACTTGGAACGCTTGCTACTCGTGCACGGACATTGGTGTTACAGGAGACTTTCATCAATGGTAATATATTCATCTGTTACATTTCAAGTTGAAGAGGTTATCAATTTGACTTGCTGGCCTAATTGTTTTTTCATTGGTGTAGATATGCTACTTTTTCTACAAGAACATCGCATTCGGTTTCACAGTCTTTCTATATGAGGTGTACGCATCGTTTTCAGCACAGCCTGCCTACAATGATTGGTATTTATCGCTCTACAACGTCTTCTTCTCATCACTTCCAGTAGTTGCTATGGGAGTTTTCGACCAGGACGTACCTGCACGGTATTGTCTCAGGGTATGTGGTTTTTCCAGTCTTTTGCGATACCTCGCATATTATATATTGTGGGAGATCGATGTTTTGTTGATTAACAGGTTCTGCTATACGTTCAATTTGTGGCAGTTTCCTCTGTTATACCAAGAAGGAGTGCAGAATGTTCTGTTCAGCTGGCGGCGCATCTTAAGCTGGATGTTTAACGGGTTTTACAGTGCCGTAATCGTGTTTTTCTTCTGCTCAAGAGCACTAGAGCAGCAAGCCTTCAACAATGATGGGAAAACTGCAAGTAGAGAAATTTTAACGGGAACAATGTACACGTGCATTGTCTGGGTGGTGAACCTGCAGCTGGCCCTTTCGATTAGTTACTTCACCTTGATACAACATATTCTCATCTGGGGTACCATTGGATTCTGGTACCTGTTTCAAGTGGTGTACGGTTTCATGCCTCCCAGTTTTTCGACCGATGCATACAGAGTTTTCGTCGAAACTCTTGCCCCGGCTACTTCTTACTGGTTCATTACGCTTTTCGTCGTCATCGCCACCCTTATCCCATACTTCTTGTACAATGCGATTCAGACGCGCTTCTTTCCCATGTATCATGGAATGATACAGTGTATAAGACATGAAGGGCTGTCGGATGATCCGGCCTACTGCGAAATGGTTAGACAAAGATCCATGCGACCAACAACCGTTGGCTTCACAGCACGGCGAGCAGCAAGCCGGCGAGAAGCAAGCCGAAGATGAGATTGAGGTGATATTCATTAGCTGAATGGTTGATACCTGAGTGACCAAAATCTGCCTTGCACTGCAAGTAAACATCACATAACAGCTAGGGAGACGATCATGTACAGATTCAGTATTTGCATGGCAGAAATTTACAGAGAGGCGAGCATCCGGATGTTGTAAATCTTTATTCTTTTCAGGAGATTTGTAAGTAGGAAGATGATAGAATAGTGGTTTAGCGTTTATATATACACCTATGGTTGCTGTTTCAGCTCCATTTTCTAAAATGGTTTTTTTATCTGTTTAATATATATTTCTTTGTTCTTTTTTATTTGTATGATGTTGTTTTTAGAGATCATTTGTACTATGTCCGAAATATGTTTGTGAAATAAGGAGGATTTCTCGTACTAATTGTCGTAGCACAGCATTTGACCTCAAATGAAATGTTATTGCATGGAAGGTGAGAATAACTTTTATGATATTAAAATAAGGGTAAAATATACAAATAGTCCCCAAAAATTTAGGGCACTAGCATTTTGGTCACCTAACTTTTAAAAATTACAATATAATCACCAAACTTTTAGTTCAACTTCAATGAGATCCCTGATGTTATCTCCCACTAGTTTTATTTGACATGACTGGTAACCTCCTGTTAACTCTATTCTTCTTCTTTTTCTGCTTCTTCTTCCATTCCTAAACCCGTCCTCTCCATATACTGCTCAAACGAGGTGGGACTATATAGATTATTTTCCAACCACAGCAACCACCATAATAATCGTATGGGCTGTCACCATCCCTATTTTCATATTCTGATTCTTTTCAATTCCCAGCTTTTCTTTTCACATTTCCTTTCTCTCATCTATTCTCATTACATGGTTTTTAGAACGGACCGATTAGCGAACCGGCCATGCTACTGGTTCACTGGTTCAACCGGTCGAAAGAATCGGACGACGTCATAATTATTTAAAAAATTAAATAAAAATACCCAAAATATTTAATAAAAAATAATTTTTTATATCACAAGTCATATTCAAAGCAAGTCATAACATATAAATTAAAAACCATAAAATCAAGTGAAACAAAATGATTCAAATTAACTACAACAATATTTAAGGTAAAACATATTAAATAAAATATATTATATAACTATAATTAAAAAATAAATTTGGGGCTAAAAAATCATAACAAAATGATATTGTTTGGTTTAATTTTTTTAAAAAACAATCCCACATGGCTAAGAAACATAGAAGATCCCAAAAGTTTAAAGAGTAAAAATATGAGAACAAAACAATCCCACATTGCTAAGAAACATAGAAGAGCATCACAACTAACTTCTATAAATAATAGAGGTAATTTGACATTCAAAATCATGGAACCTTTTGGTGAGCATTGAGTGAACTATTTTTTCACTTCAATTAAGCTCGAATTTTAGGCTTCAATTTAGCTTCTAAATTTTTTTTTAGTTCAAGCCTTTTTGAGTTCAAGTTTCAATATATATTTCGAGTTCGAGTTGAACTTGATAATTTTTAACTTGTGAGTTTGAGTGGAGTTGAGCTTATTTTTAAAGTTTTCAAGATACTCGAGTTCGACTTGGCTCGTTTAACAAACGACGTTTGGTTTAATTAAAAAAAAATTCGGTTTTCAGCCGGTCCGATTTGAACGGTTCAACGGTTCTGACCGGTTCACTAATATCAGTTCAATCGATTTAGATTGAACCGGATTAGGCAACTGTTCCGGTTGAACCGGCCGATCTGGTCTGATTTTCAAAACAATGCTTCATTATAAATAATAATAAACCCCAAACCCCAAATCTCTCAGCATACAGTATCTCGCACCTCACTCATTCCAAAGCTTCAATCTTTGGCCCAAAAAACATAGTGTTGCTTAGAAGGGCATTTCTTTTGCTATAATTTCAGTGATGGTTTTGGGATTAATCCAAGCTGGATTTTTCCATAATATTAGCAGAGCCAGTTTCCCTAAAGGCTTCATTTTCGGAACAATCTCTTCTGCTTTCCAGATTGGTTCTAAGCTTTTTTTTTCTCTAATTAACTATCCCATCAAGGTTTAAGGGTTGTTTATTTGCCTCTTAATGAAACCATTCAGCACTGAATGTTGAACCGTTCAGTATTTTTCAATATTTGAATCATTCAGCGCTTAATCATTCTGAAGTAAACAAACAACCTCTTAATCTTTCGATTTGCTTTTCGTGTTTTTGTCATTATTATTAATTTAGTTTTAGAATAAATTACAACCTCAGATTATAAGGGACTGGGATGCGATGGAATTTGAGATTCGATTTCTGGTTCGGAATTATGATATATATTTATTAATGGGATACGACGTTGAATCTTCGGGAGGAAGAGAGGAGTTGGTTGATGGATTTGAGTGTGGGAGTGAAGTCTCGTTTGAGCAGTGTTTAGAGAGATGAGATTTTAGGAAGGGAATAAGATAGTTAACGGCAGTTACATGCCACATAAGATAAAACTAACGGGATAACATCAAGGATCTTATTGAAAAAGAATTAAAAATTTGGTGATTATATTGTAAGTTTTAAAAGTTAGATGACCAAAATATAAATAACCTAAAAGTTCAGATACTATTTATACACTTTACCCTAAAAATAATAGTAGAGATAGTATTATAATGATTGGATTAAAAAGTTAATGGTGGGTGGGGCCGTTACAATTAGGTGAATTATAGAATGTAATTATGCATTTGGATTTAAAAAATTAAAATTTTATTTATTTATAATTATTTTATTTAATCAATGATAGGAACGTGTATACAAGTTCGTTTTTTGAGAATTTAGTGGTTTAAGGGTAAATTCAAAAATTGGACTTTTAATACATGAATCAAGTTATTTATGTGTTGAAGGAATTATTGTTATTTTTTGAGGACCCAAATTTGAGCATTTTAGATGTCAGGGTGTAAGCCTTCAATATCAAAAAGTTGAGAGTCATCTTTGAACATATATTGTATTTTACTTACCTTAGATTAATAAAAAAAATTAGACTCATAATAATAAATATTGAAAGAAATTTAAATTTTAAGTGAAAAAAATAAATTAATTTATTTATAAGTCGTAATTTTTATTACACTCAACAAACTTGAATAATAAATACATCAAATTTAAAATTAAAAAAATCAAGAAATTTTATTAATTACTCAACTACTCACTAAATTTAACTGATGAATTTAAATATTTATATTAAATTTATATTCCTTTTGACTATTTCAAATTAAAAGATAATTTTAATTTGAATGTTAACGGAATAATTACTCTTTGAATATGCCAATTTAAGAAGGTATTTGTTGTCTATTTAACTTTGAATATTAAAGATAATAATATACATTTGTATATTTCAAATTAAAATAATATCTATTTAACTTTGAAAGGTAAAAAAGTTTATCTTTTAAATATTTTAAATTAAAAAAAATATTATTATCTGTTTAAAATTGAATATTAAAAGATATTAATTGGATTAAATCTATCTTAAAAATCCCTTATAAATATTGTGCTAATCTGTTAGGTTAAATACAAGTTTTAACAAACATGTTTTCATCTAAGATTTCAAGAAGTTCTCTTATCTTGAAAAGTTTTCTCTTCTACTAGTTTTTTGGTGATAGTTGAGGGTAAGGATAGTTCGAGATCTCAATTGTTGTGTTATTGTAACTGATCATCTAGTTATTGTATGATGGGAGACAGACAACCAATGAACTCGATCATCAAAGGAGTGGTCGAAAATTTGTCTTAAGGAAAATGTGTAGTAGCCATATGCCTCAATTGTTTTTGATTGCAAGATCAAAATAAAAAGGAGTTTTTTTATTTCCATTTATTTTTTATTTGGTTTTAAGAAGTTTAACTTCTTTATTTTATTTTCTCAGATTTGATTTTGTCTCGAATTGTTATTTTGGATATGTAGACGCTCATTTTCATCTGAGCTTGTTAAATAGTATATTTTGGAAATATATCATATACTTTATAATATATAATTTTGAAAACATTATATTAATTTTTAAAACAATATATAGTTTTGAAATTATTATATATATTATGAAATTATATTATATAGTTTTGAATACATATATATATATAGGCATATGCAAAAATACCTCTAACGTTTGATAATATTGTCAAATTTACCATTATGTTTTTTTGGACACATTTACAACCTTTTATTTTGGGTCAAAAAATACCCTTAGTGGATGAAAATCATTATTCAAGACCAAACATGTACACATGACCTAAGCACAAGAATCACTCCGATTTTATATCCAACACTCTGCCATGCTCCATTAAATCTCGAAGATTTCAAAACAACCTTTTTCCTGTTTATTTATAAAGTAAAAATATGAATTAAATCTGATTTTTTTTAATAATAATGTTACCTAGAGAGTGAGAAGAAAACAAAAGTAAACGAACCATCTGTTCTTCATTGTATGGATAAACTCATAGAAGAGCTTTCATGAGCGGCAAGATTCTTCATATTTTCTCTGTATGGATAAACTCAGAGAAGAGTTTGATGAATTAAAGAATTCTTTTCATTATTTAATCAAACAAGCATCTTGGTTTGGTGGCAAAAGCCATGTCTTTCCACACATTTTCCTCAAGTTGGAGCCCCATTCCACACATAATCTTTTAATAGATCCTTTAAACCACATTAATTGAAGAGTGACATGTCATTCATTGATAATAAATAATTAAATATAAATATCAATAATAACTTTTTTATTTCTTATTTTTTAAAGAATCTGACGTGGTAATACCACATCATAATGTACTATGACTAGAACAAGCTACATCAGCATCTCCCTTCGTATTTGTATGTTTGATCAGTACTAGACGTTGATCATCAAATGACTAACGATTTCTATTCACTGATGGTGTTTTTTTGACCCAAAATAAAACATTGTGTAGTCAAATGTGTCAAAAAAAAAAACAATAAGGGTAAATTTGATAATATTATCAAACGTTAGGGGTATTTTATTGCATTATATATATATAATATATATATATTTATTTATTATTTTTATTTTGTTTTTCAGGTCTGAAATAATGTCCAGGTCCAAATTCCAGTTTGGGGTCCAACAAGTTAAGGACCTGTGCAAATGACCCAATCAGCATGGCCCAACAGATTCGGAAGGTCCAAAATCATTAGGATCTAACACCTAGCAGGCCTGGAGGCCCTAAGGAAACACAGTCGTGTGGCCCAATAGCTAGGGTTTTTATCTTATGCAAAGCGTCTCACAAATAACGACCGTCAGATCAAGAGATGGATCAACAGCAGGCTAAGCTTTTTATAACCCTAGTCAGAAAGCATGAGTGCCGCATCAATTTAAGCCGTTGGATCTGCTATGCCATCCAACGGTCTATAATAAATCTAGCAACAAGAACCATCCAACAGTTCAAAAAAGACCGCTCGTGAGTCACACGCCAATCAAAAAGGGAAAATTTCCAGATTTCGTGTAGAACAGATCATATACAAATATGACAGTCAACATAAATTCAACACGAAAAAGGGTATTTTTTTCTTTTAATGAAAATCGATGCAAGTCAACAATGGAGGAATGCTTTTGAGCAAAGATAACTCGGTTTTAAGGAAAAGATCGAGAACATATCCCACCGATTGTGAGATTAAACTCATGCACAGAAGGAAATGAAACCTCAATTCGACCCCTATAAAACCCCTGCAAGAAAGAGAAAGGAAGGTCAGTAACGAATCGAGTGAAAATAGAGAAAATGAGAGAGAGAAAGAGAGAATGAGAGAGAAGCACAATTACTCATGTTCGTGATCGCCAGAGAGAAGGATGTCACCAGAACACCAACCGTAGTCGAAAGAAGGTAAACCCGAACCTTCAATCTTATGTACTACACCAAATAGGGCACTCTTTGGGTATTGGAAGGGTAGATTTGAACTCGGGGAAAAGAGCGTTCGAATAGGTAATGTTAGGTTTTCCGGCCACCGTATGTGGTGACCGACGCAGTGGTTGGAGTAGTTTTCCTAATGGAAAACCACAGGGATCTGGATTTTTGGTTACCAGGCGATGGCTGCTTTGGAGAAAATTTGAGAGCATTTGAGACGGGGTTTTTAGGGACATTTTATCAAATGAAAAAACAGGAAAGTGAGGTTTTTTAAAAGAGGGGCACGAGTGTAATTATGTAATAGACTAATTATTTCCACAGTTCTATAAGTTTGATGTGTAATTCATCTTGGTCACTGAACTTGTAATTTGATCCTAGAATTTCTTTTTAAATGCAATTTGATCCCTGGAATTTATTTGTAATTGTAATTTAATCCCTAATTCCTTGTTAATTTCTTATGATATGTTAAGCATGTTCAATCATTAATTAATTTGACTTCCTATTTTAGTAAGTATTTGTTTAATGTGTGATTTTAATTAGCATGATTAATTAATACTCCTAATTAATTTATTAGTTTGTTTGATGACGTTGATTAATAATCATGCTTAATTTACCAATAGGGTTTGGTTCAAGTGGTAAGTAGCTTAATATCGTTTAAGCAAGGTCTCGAGTTCGAGTTCTTGTGTATGCAAAAAATTCCTACTGGGAGACTCACCACCAAAACCAGGTGTGCAACGCGTGTCGGTTCGGATTAGTCAAGGAGAACCCTTGAATCTTGGAGGGCGACTAAAAAAATAAGCATGCTTAATTTGGTCCTAATTATAAAACGATTGATTGATTTAATTTAGAGTAAAATGATTTTTGTTTTTTTTATGGCGTGACATTTTTATTTTACAAGTTTGATTACCTCATTCTCATTATTCAAACTTATTCATAATAAAATAAAAGGAAATGTATGTTTAATTTAAATTATCGAAGCGAGTCATCCAAATCCACTTGGGTAATTCAATTCGATAATTTAAAGTGACGAGTACCCTCCAATGAACAAATGAAATTGATAACTGCTAAAATCAATCGAGAACATAGAAAAGAAAATGTTCTATATTAGATTTATCGCAATGAGCCTCTTGACCCTATTTAGAGATATAGTTTTGGTACTTATAAATATTCGAACATTTCTTATCTATCTTAAAGGCACAATAATCTACCATTAATAAAATTTTTATTTGTTGCACAACTATAGGTAAATCAATACAATGATTACGATACTTCTTGTTTCTTTCTAAATATGGGGAATTGCCACTCTACCTTAATTAGTGTTTCCTCTTGGTTTGAAACGATGAAATATCTATTGTTTAACTTTAAAATTTTTGAGAAGATGATTAGTGATTCACCATTTTGGCTGGAAATGAAAGGGATGCCATTCTACCCTATATTAGGTGGTTAACTTTCTCCTGTCAAATGCATGAATCGTTAATCTTCTCTCCTAAATTTTAGGTCAAATGACATTGTATTTTATTTAATTAAAAAAGGGCATCATCAGTTAAATTAAGTTTGAATTCACAAGTTTCATTACAAAGACAATAATTAATCGACTAGGTTGATTTTTGGGCGTTGTGGGGGTGCTGACCCTTCCCCACCGTAATCGACTCCCAAACTCATTTCTGGAAAGTAGACCAAAACATATTTTAATAATTTTAAAATTAAATTTTATTAAAACGAAAATATTTTTGGGTGATCCAATCACACCCTAAAAATATATTGGTGGCGACTCTCTTGAACCACGTTTTATTTCAAAACCTAATTTTAGTTGAAACAAACCCTTAAAGTTTTTTTTTCAAGACATTACAATAGTTTGGCGACTATTATGGGAACTTTTAAAGAGTCAGACTATTGGTCAATTAATTATCGTATTTGCAATGGAAATTATGGATTCAAATTAATTTAGTTTTTATCCCTTGGGTGTGCTTGTTTGTTTTGCATTCATCTTTAAACTTTTAAGGGTTGAATAGTGTTAAAAAAATGTGTGTTAGTTTCGGTAAAGGTAGGAGGTTTCTCCTCACACGCTCACTGCATGTGCATAACATAAATTATACTTAGGTTGTCCCTTTTAAGTGGGGGTGAAAACGACGCTTTTTTTCTGAATGTTTCATCATGTCACGCCTAGTGATTACCCTTTGGGGTCCATACCTTATACCTTCTTGAGATATTGTTTCTCCGTGTCAGACTAAGGAGGTGCATCATCTCGAATTTAACTTGATCCATATAGCTGATGGGTTTAGGATCGGGGTCTAGCAAGCCCAGAGGAAACCAACAAGGATAATTCAAGTACCTTTGACTTAGAGCCAAAATCAGCATATAATATACCCAAAAATCTATCCAGATTGAACCCATGTCGAACCCATAGGGAATTCTCGAATAAGTGAACACAAAGGATAAATCGACCTCTATCCTTTCCTTTATTTTTACAAGCAGAAAGCATGCGAACTAGAAATCATGCGATTAAGATTTATGGGGTTAGAAATCATGTGTGGGTAGGATTTTTATATTTATCATGATATAGGTAGAAAATTTGAGGGATATGATTTAAAGTATTTATTTCTTTGCTTATTATTTTACTAACTTACTTTCCTTTTTTATGCTTTTTATTTTTACCATGTTGCATCACATTAGCATACTATAAGGGGCGTTGATGCGTGAATATTCCATAAAAGTTAAATAGTTTTCACTAATGGATTAAGAGTGCCAAAAGCATCTAGTTTCATACTAGGAGGTGCGGGTCTGCTCAGAGACCACGCGACAAGAGCTCAGAGACAGTTTGCCTTCAGATTTCGTGTCAAAGTTGACAGATAAGACTCATCTCAATTGCCAACAGAATGATTTACAAGAGCTCAGAAGTGTAAGGGATACCTGGGCTGTCGAGACTAGAGAACATTTCCAGCGACTCTATTGGGACATTGCAGCCTTGCTTTATGTGAGAGTAGATGAACCAATGCTTCATGCCATGGTTAAATTTTGGAATCCTAGGTACCATTGTTTCACTTTTAATGGACATGACATGGTCCCTATCATTGAAGAATACACGATGCTGTTGAATATTAAAGATGTCAAAGGTGATCGCATTTATTGCAAACCAGCCAAAGCTCCATCGTTTAAAGCCAAGCTGATGAAGCTCTTCGGAGTGAAAGATAAATGGATAAAGGACTGCATTAAAAATAAAGGAAAAAATGAGGGTATTCCTTGGGTCAGCATTAAGGAAATTGTCAAAAAAACACTTGGACGAAGGAAAAATAATGGAAGCTTTCGCTCTTGCGATCTATGGGTTAGTAGTATTTCCAAGAGTTCTAGGACATGTTGAAGGATCACTAGTAGACTTTATCGAGCAATTGCCTAAAAGGACAAATCCAACACTTGCAATTTTGGCAGAAACCCTAATCTCTCTAAATAGATGTCGACGCATAGTAGGTGAACATTTTGTTGTATGTGCTTAGTTGCTCCAAGTTTGGATTCATAGCTATTCCTGGAAATCTCCGCATGTATCCCTCGATTGGTTCCTTCATGGTTACTCGCCTTTGAATGAATTTCTAAAGCATGAATGGCCAAAGGACCTCCCAAAGGATAAATGAACCAAAATCCTCAAGAATCTCCAAGACAAAGACATTGTATGGGGTGCACGATGGTTTGACCACTACAAATTGATGTAAAAGTGTGGCAATGATCATTGGGTAGATTTGTTAGGATTCTAGGGAGGTATCGGACATGCACCGCTTCTGGTAGTCAGACAGTTTGGAGGGAGGAAATATGTTCTTGTGAGACATGGATTAAGGGGATCTGAATTCTTATTCCAAATAGACAATTACATGAAGAAGGTACGTGAGATGGTTGACTTGTGGGAAACGACTTTTAGAACTAAGCTAGTTACCAAAGATGATATGTTTACTCTAGACTATGAAGCCTGGAAGCGTAGAAGAAGAAATGAGATGGTCCCGGCACCTACTGATGAACCGGAGGTCTCTTTAGAAGAATAGTTAAGGCTGATCCCTTCACCTATAGAAATTCAGAGGCTGAAGTTCGAAGTAGAAAGAGAAAAATAGGCCGTAGTGAAGAAAAACCTTGAACATGAGAATTATCTAATGATCGTCGATGTGGCTTTTAATAGAAATTAACTGAAAGAGATGCGAAGGGAGAAAGAAAAGGTTGAGTCTGAGTATGCCGAACTAAAGGTTGACTATCAGGACCTAAGTAAGAGGATTGTCAGGTCAAGCAAAACGTCTCAATCAATGAATAGTTAGTTAGAAATGGAAAGGAATTGGGTTGTGAATCTGGGTACAGAAGTTGTCTGACTCGAGAACTGGAAACTGAAAGACAAGAATTGGAAGAACTAGAAGCTGATAAGAGAGACAAAATCAGATATCTCAAGGCTAACAAATGTAAATATGATTAACTAAGAGCTGAAAGGAGGCACTTAAACAGAGATCTAAGGATGACCAGGCATAAAGTCGGAGAGCTGGAAGTCAAAAGGGATAATATGCTGTAAGAATTTCAACTTAGAAGACAGAGGTCGAAGAACTCGAAACACCGACATGTGGAAGAAATCACTCATAGCATGCAAGAGATGCACACAATGTATGTTGAGAGTTAAACCAGGCACACTTACCCAAAACGGTGAGCTCAGGGCTAGGGTTTTTGAGCTAGAAGATTCCCTTATGCGAGACCAAGTTCAGCGTTGGCCAAAGGATTATAAAATCGTCCGTGAAGAAAATAGGACCTTACAAGCACGAATCAGATAACTGGAAGAGGCTTTGCAGCAAAGTAGGATGAAGGTCTTCAATTTGGAGCAGAAGATCCAGGACATGAACGACGGCTTGAAGAACACCACTTAGCATTATGCAGGAATGGTCGCAGATCAAGCACGCATCATGGAAGAATCCACTACATAGATGAGTGACGTAGCATGATACATGAGGGTATTGGTAGAAGAAGATGAAGCTATCCAGACTTATGTGAATCCTGTAATTGAACTACTTGTGATCTTTAAGATTTTCCTTTTGAATGAAGACTTTTCTATGATGGGATGTTATTTGGATCAGTGCCACTTCTTGCGTTTGCATTCATAACATTGCATTGCATTTATTTATTTATGCTTTTGCACTGTAATATACATGAACATTAAAAAGACAAATTAATAAGAAGCAGAAAATTGTGTAACAGAAAAGATATTGGCCGATACCATTACCCATTATCAGAACACTCGTTTCCAAGCAAGAAAAATGAAAGCTAGAATAAAGGAGATTGATGATAACTTCATCAAGATGCAGCAAGATCTGGAGAATAAGTTGAGTCAGAATTTCAAGGCCACCTTGGATTCCATCACCAAAAACCAGAGTAATTTAGTCGATCAACTTTTGGCAAGATTGACAAGGGTAAACTTACTAATGTCTCAGGGACGGGAGCTACTGAGGAAATAATGACACCACTACCAAAGTTGATAATCACACTTGGATATCAGAGGGACTCTTTTGGCACCAAGGGACAAGCTGGGGTAACCAATCCCCATAATAATCATGAAGATTATCTTATTGCAGATCTTAATGAAGAGGACAAATCCAAGAAAATGGAAAGCAAAATAAAATAGATAGAAGAACAGATGAAAGCGGTAAAAGGAGAGAAAAATATTTATGTAACACCTTTAATCTGTAAATGTACTCAATTACGAGTTAAAGGCGTCACATTGACTTTTAAATTACTAAACAAAATCGAGTCAAAATTTGAATATTTTTTAAACTTATACAATTATTCCCCTTTTCATAAAACTGATTTAATCGTATAACATAAAGTTTAATATTTTGACCTAAAAAATTAGATTCGATCTCTGGCAGCAATTTGATAGTTCGACACTGAATCATATTTAAAATGAAACTGCCTAAAAACTACCTACATAAATATTCATTTTAAAGGTGTTATAACTATAATTTAATAATTACTATTCATGTAAAATATTAACTATATCTAATAATATGTATACTACTTGAGCTAAATTTATATAATACAACTCGACTTATGAAACTAATCTGTCAAAGCAACAAAAGATATATTTAATATACATGCCAACTAGCTAAATTAAAAACGATAAATACGTACTGATACTGGTAGTAGGTGTGATTTGCAAA